ATATATATATGAATAAATCAATCCATTAAAAAAAGATTTTACTGTCTTCATCTGCATCATGTGTCACTTATATCCAATGTTACTATTGCATTTGTAGTGTCAGTCTCAGCTGGTAAGCACATTGTTTTACAGGTCTAAATGAATTATTTAGCCATACACATAGATGATGCTACAAAAAGAACTTACAGTATCGTGTGACTAAACTTACCTTTTCCGATCCTTAATGTAATTTAAAGTCCATTTCCCTTTAGTTGTGTACTTTCCTGGAACTTAGACGGTATCCACAGATTTATTGTATCATCAATCACTGAATGCTATTTAATAATGTATAACAACATGTAACTAGGCAACTAACACCTGTAGGTACTGAGTCCATCTAACTGTGTCATAGAGTCTCAGTGACCCTGATGAGGATTTGGGGATTAGACTTGTCTGAGGAGAGTGGTGGCAAACTCAATCATCCTCCCTGCTTGTCCACTCCAGCGGGAGATGAGATACATTTAAGTGAAGTTTCGACAAGCCTCAGTTAACCTCCTACTCAGGATCCACAACACTGAAAACCATTATGTGTTGACATTGTTTTTAAAATTCAGCAACAAGCTATAATTTTCCTGATCATTTGCGGAACAGAGGATTTAGTCTGCTTGCACACACACACGCTTACACGCACTCTAACACACACACACACACACACACACACACTACTCCTGCTCAGTCAGCACTCTCCTCCATATCCTCCTTTAATCCTATTAGATCATGTCCAGTAAAACAGATTCCAGATCAGGCATAAAAGAACAATAATGTCTCGTGTGAAATCAAAGCAGAACCTCTATCGGTGAAAAACGTGTACAGGAGTATACTGTAGAAATCCTGTGGTTCAGTGGCTCTCCCTGTTGGCTGATGTGGTGTTTGCAGTTTTATGACAGCAAATTTCACAGTTTGCATTTGAGCTGAAGCATCTTTGCAGGAGTTTAATGTCCTTTAATTTGTTTTGGTTTAGTGTTGAAATAAGTATAAATGGAGATGACAGTGTGTGATTTTGATGTGTTTATGTCACTGATGAAACTCAGGGGAACATTGACTAGAAGGAAACACTGTTGAGGTAACAGTGGCACACAACAAGATAAAGATCGTGTACACAAAATACTGATATGTTATTTTTTGGCACTTTAATGGTTTAATACTGGACAGTACAGCAAAACAATAAAACATAAGATAATCCTCAACCATTTATACAATGTGTTGATGAGTAAGAATAAACTTTCAATTACAGAACTACAGAAAAAGAGAGAAACCACAAACAAAAACACCCTTTTTAGATTAGGTCTGAAAACACATTTTGGTTATTCTCTTTACAAAGTGTTCAATTTTTTCCCAATTTATTTTTTTAGTCTCTTTTAACTACATCACCTGTATCTGTTTTCAGCTTTTGTTCCATTTGCTAACAGAGGAGTATATTTGCTGGTGATGAGAGGCAGATTACAGTGCAGTGGGATCTGCTGGCCCTCCTGTCATGTTAGCCTCACCGACATCAGTGGCACGGGCGTCAACCTCAGCTGGGACATCAGCAGCAGCAAGTATATCGGCGGTGGCAGGGGCAGCTGGATCAACGGCCACCTCAGGGGCTGCTGGGGCACTGTCAACAGGAACTACATCAACAGGAGGTACATCCACAGCAGCAGCATCATCAACTGGAGCAACATCTATGGGGACGTCAACTACAGCTGGCTCTACCGCTGCAGGGTTTGCTGAAGGCTCTGCTTCAACCATGGCTGGGTCGGCCTCAGCTGCTTCCACCTCCTCGGCCTCCTCTACCTCATCAGAGTTCAGCAGGGCACGTCCTGCAGCTTTGGTGGCAGGGTTACCATCCTGTGCCAAAGAAATGGGAAAAAATTATGTCATATATATGTTGACAAAAAATGATGAATTTTTGAAGTTAGCTGCTTCATGTTCAGGGTTTATGCTTGTGACGCTGTCATATTTAAAGTTATTGTTTGAACTAATGCTCCAGCAAAATGTGTAACAGTCTATGTTTCTTTGGCTTGTTACACCTGTCAGAGTGTCGTCTGTCCTGAATGTGTCCTTTTCTTGTTCTAGCTCTCTGTTTTAACAGTGTTTGCACATAGCATCTACCGCCGTTGTCAGTTTAGCCTAAATTTATTTATTCAGGTCTCTGAGGAAAATTGAGAAAAGCCTCAATTTATTCTACAATGGAATGTGTTTGTTCTACAAGCATTACAAGTTTTTCCCAGTTTGTTTTTAGCTCTACACTTAGGCTATTCTTAAACCAATCCATTGTGGACAGAGAAGTAGTTGTTGTGAATAAACAAGATACGAGAAAATATTAGTAAATATTTCTCTAAACAGGGAAGAAAATGTACACATGAATTTCTCAATAACAATCAATATACAGTTCAGCATGAAACTATGATGCCTGAGCACCTCTGTCTCCTCCTCTGAAGCATCTCCAACAGGGACGGGAGCTGGAGGAGGGACATCAGCAGGTTGGGCTGGTGTTGCATCCACCTATATTAAATGTATATAGCCTATATTATTATTTGTAATAATAATATATATAACAGGAAATAAATGTGTATATGCAATGTCACAGTGCTGTGTGTATGCTCACAGTGGCCCCAGCTGAGACAGCCTAAAAGAACATAATTTTATGTCAGATTGCAAATAAGTACAAACTTCAGCAATCATGCCAAATACGCTTATTTTTAGTTTTCACAAAAATCCACCACTAAGCTCCTGTAAGAGGCTAACAAGAGTAAACTTACAGGAGAATTAGCAGAGGGAATGAAGGGATTTTGGACTATTCCCTGGAAAGAAACAACAATAATAGGAATTAAAACAGATTTATAATCATAAATGAGCATTCATGGAAGGTCTATCTGAAGTTCTTTTTTTTACTTCAAACATCAATGAACCCCCATTACCTGCTGCTGGTACAGCCTGTACATCTCCATCCACCTCAGGGCCTCATTAGCATGTGCTGCAATCTGCAAATAAATACCAGACATCTTCAGACATGCGGTGCAATTAAGCCAATTATACCCTGTCTGTCAGACAACGATCATAGTGCCCAACTGATGGCATGACAAAAACATAGCATTACATGTCATAGCAGACGGATCCAACACTCAAAACAGAAAAGTTGAAAAGGCCATCTTACCTCACTGCTTTCGCTTGCTGGAGCCTGCAATTTCAGAAATAGAAGTGAGCAAACAACAGTTAGATGTGGATAACTGTGTTTTAAAATGTTATCAGATGGCAGATTTAATAATACACAATATTGGACTTACAGGGGCAGCGAGAGTAGAGACCAAGAGGCACATGAAGAGAACAAGCTGCTTCATTTTGACAGTTTCAGTAGAAAAACCTGTATAATATAACATACAACCCAGACTTTTATCTCAATTTTTCTTAATTTTCTTTGCTGAATGGGGGGGGGGGGGTTTAAGAAAATCAAGAGAGAAATAGTTTTTAAAAATTATATTAAAAATATTTGTGAAAACAACAAGGTTGCCCCAAAAAATGAGAAATAGTTTCTGTTTGTAAAGTCACCTTACCTTGTTGTCCTGCAGAGAAACTGTGAAAAAGTACCTCAGTAGAAAGAAGTCTATTTCTTGTTCCTCATGGATGCAATTTATATACTGCTATATCACGTAGCAGCCAATCCCAGCCAGTAGAACAGGCACACCTATGTGTTTGAAGAATTATCCTTACATGTCAAAGGTAAAAAAAGAGGTATCTAGGGTTGAGGCCCCTGTTGTTGTTAATTACATGCTATACAAGTATGCTTAGCACACATGCCCACCTTTACTGCCCTAAAACCAAACTTTGGAAAAAAAAAACAAAAAAAAAAAACAGAGAGAGACGCCATGAAGCAGACATAAGCATGTAATGATATGACAGAGAGTCCCTGCTTAGTTTGACTTGAAAACAGTGAAAAGGAAACTTAAATTAACTTAAATATCTGCAATATCTTATTACTAAAAATAATGTAAGTACTGGTGATAGCTACAGAAACGTGAAATACAGTGTTGATCCTCCTCGCTTGAACAGAGGTTATAAGAACATCTACTCAAGTATTGCACTTTTTCAGCTCTTTCTTTTAGCTTAGCATTTTAAAGGGTGGGGTATTTAAAAAACTGACTGACTACAGACATTATGTTTCATTATGCATACAGGAGATAATGTGTAGAAATGTATGTAAAGGCTGGTTAGCCTTTACATACATTTTTCTCATAATCTGTTTTAGTCTAAGAAATAATTCTGACCCCATGTAAAATACCCTCTGCAATGGGATATTTTACACTGTATGTATTACAACAATTGTGTGACTTAAGTTAAACAACTACATATTTTTTCTCAATTGAACACCACATTTTACACAAGTATTCCAAAGATTATTTTCATCTACTGAAACTTACAGTGGGTGTAAGTGCCAGTGGGAAGCACCACTTCTATAGTGTCTGAGTTTTAACTAAATGTGTTTGCTTTAACTGGCGTGGCTTTTCATCACAGTGATTTTGAACATTATAGCTCACTTATGTTTATTTTTTCAGGTTCCAGATCAGATAATGAAGGAGTTGGTCTGTAATTTGCTGAACTCTATACTATTCTGACCTCAAATCCGCTGACTTAATCAACTTTGTCAAAAGATAACAATCTCTCCATTAGTCATTTAAAAGTTAACAGTTGATATTGTGCCATGTAGTTAGATTATTCCTGTTTTCTCCTTTGAAGAAAAACTGCAGTTATAAAAATGTGGTTACAATGTGATCATCTGTTTCAACAGGAATATAGAACTTTTAACTCTCAAACTATGCTTTGTTTCAGAAGGCTACATTGTTGCTTTGACAAACAAATGCTTTAATTCTTTTTTGTTTCTTAGAACAACATCAAAAGCAACAGAACGAAATAAAGCTTCTTTTTTTTTAGGTTTTTACTTACTTTTAGTAAAAATCTAAAAGCGTGACTTGCATCAAAGCTCTACAAAGCCTCTACATAGCAGTGAACCTCATAACTGGGTGTGGCTCACTTAAGGTACACCGTCATAAAGAACCTCGTTCAATTCACTGGAGTAAAGTGTTCTAAACATTCTTCAATGACTAGCATGAAGCAGATCCTCTTCCAGCTTTATAAAAGTCTATAGAAATGCAACCCTTCAGCTCCCTTCAGTGAGCATTTTCCTGACAAGTGATTCAACCCTAGTTTCAAGTCTTAAGGTATACAAGCAGCAATGGTTGCTTTGCTTTGCCACTGCAACCTCATCTCACAGTCACTTGAATTTATAGTTAAGCCCTTGAAGCTGCTGCAGTATTCTCCTGAATGATAGTTGTCACCACTCAGACAATATCTTAAACATAAGTGCTG